CAACCCAGGATCAGGAAGCGCACCTTCGAAAGAGCCTGTGACGTCTGGGAGGCTACTCAGACACGCGCAGGCTGGCTGACACCATTTTCTCCAACCGGTGTCATCTGGTAATTCGTGGCTCCCTCGTTCCCAATTCCTGAAGATTAAGGGCACGGAGAGTGGTGGAGGAGCGATCAGGTAAGGAACCCCCAACGATGTCCATCTCGACTTCTACCCTTTCTGGCAAAACTGAGCATGTGATCAACTGCGGGCAGACGACACATGGACTGGAATCGATCCGAGGGCGTCTCTAGATGTTTTCAGACAACGCCGGCCCCCGTGGCCGCACACCAAACACCCATGCAACACATTCCAGGACACCTGAAACAAGCAGCTCCAGCTTACAGTGGTTGGGTACGCCATAGGGGATGAGCCCAGCTAGAGTTGTATGAACAGGCAGGTACTTCCCTGTGGAAGCTGCTATCAAAGATGCCTTTTGGAAACGCCGACGTGGCCAAACGTTGGGCCTAGGTCTTGCCAAGCTATTGGGCAAAGTTCTTCCCCAGCCGTTGTGGAAACCCTTGGGGGACAATTTGCGAAATGAAGCAGCAGCAGCAGCAGCAGGAGGAGGAGGAGGAGGAGGAGGAGGAGGAGGAGGAGGAGGAGGAGGAGGAGGAGGAGGAGGAGGAGGAGAGGGAGGAGAAGGAGGAGCAGGAGCCTCTTCGCCTTCGGAGGACGGGGTTCCTCTGGACCGCCCCAGGACCCTCTTTGGGCGCTCCAGGGCCGTCTTGGAGGTCTGCTGGGCCGTCTTGAGGCCGTCTTGGGGCCGTCTTGCGGGCCTGTCTGAGCTTGGGGCCCTCTTGGGCAGTCTTGCGGGGCTCTCGGAGGCCTCTTGGGCCGTCTTGTGGCGGCCTATGGGGCCGTCTTGGAGTGTCGGAAGCCCGACCAGAAAACAACATTCAAAACACTTGTTACGTCGGCGGCGAGGCAGAACTGCACCAGCGAGCGGCGATCCGGGGCAACCGATGCACGAATTGGCTGGCGTGCAGGAGGACAACATTCAACACACCAGAGGAAGTTCGATCCATGATTTTGGCATCCTGGAGTTCCTCTTGGAGCCTTCTTGGGGCGTCTTGGGGGCCTCTTTCCGTCTGGAGGGCACCTTGAGTCGCCTTGGAACCACGGGAGGCCGTTTTGGAGGCATCTCGGGCGAACTTGGAGGCCTTTTCAGCGAACTTTGGTCGTCCTTTGAGACCATATCGGACCGTCCTGGGCCAGCTTGAGGGCCATCTTGGCTGTCTTGGAGGCCACCTTGGGGCCATCCTGGGCCAACTTCTTGAGGGTCATCCCCGCCGTCGTGGAGGCCATCTTGGGGCCGTCCCGAGCGGGAAAACCGCTGAGAGGTGTTTTGGTGCCTTCCGCGCGGCAGCCTCCGCGGGCCGCAGGCCACCGCACAAAATCTGGGGAGGGCCAGCACAGCAGAGCAGTTCGCTACGCCATGCTCCTCTGTGGCAAGCACAGGGGGCGGCGGATCGTCCTCCTCCTCGCTCCTCCTTCCTCCCTCCTCCCTCCTCCCTCCTCGCTCCTCCCTCCCTCCTCCTCCCTCATTCCTCCCTCCTCCTCCTCCTCCTCCTTCCTCATTCCTCCCTCCTCCTCCTCCTCCTCCTCCTCCTCCCTCCTCCTCCTCCTCCTCCTCCCTCTCCTCCTCCTCCTCCTCCTCCTCCTCGTCCTTCTCCTCCTCCTCTTCCTCCTCCTCTTCCTTCTCCTCCAGGGGCTTCTTGGTGTCACTTGCGGGCCTGCGTCTGCTCTTGATTGAAGGCCCACCTGAGGAGGCGGCCTGCACTTCAGAATGACCAGTGTGGTTGGCCTTGAAGCTCCCGCGAAGAGCAGCGGCTCTCTCTTGCCCCTCGGACGGGCTCTCGCTTGTCCCCTGCTCTTGACCGTCCAGCCCCTCCTCGCTGTGCCTGCCTCCTCCTCCGCCGGCGACGACGCCGACGACGACGTCAACGCTCATGACGAGTGCAGCGGAGGTAACGACGGCGACGCCGCCGACGCCGACGCCGACGCCGACGCCGACGACGACGACGACGGCGACGGCGACGCCGCCGACGACGACGGCGACGGCGACGGCGCCGACGACGACGACGACGACGACGACGGCGACGACGGCGGCGACGGCGGCGTGAGGCGGCCGCGGCGGCCGCCCGCAGGCCTCGCCGCGCCTGCGGTCGCTGAGCCTCGGCCTCGCCGGCCACAGCCTCGGCGACCCCCGCCGCCGCCGCACGCTGCCGCCGCCGCCTCCGCCGCCGTCGTCGTCGTCGTCGCCGCCGCCGTCGTGGTGGTGGTGGTGGTCGTCGTCGTCGTCGGCGTCGTCGGCGTCGTCGTCGTCGGCGGCGTCGTCTTCTTTTATCTCGTATAAGTGGCGCCGTTCGGGTTTGTTCGGATGCGTTCGGAGCTTTCGGGGCCTTCGGCGGCTTTCAGAGAGGAGTGGGAGGAGAAGGGAGGAGAAGGGTCAGCTGCCTTGCGGTATAATGGATCTGCGCACAGTGGCAGGGCCAGCGCGTGCTCGCGCTGCCTTGTTCGCAGCCACGCCGACACCTTGGGCACGCGTGTGAGGGTCTCTACCGAGCCCATTGACTGCTCTGAGGTCGCTTGGGGGCACGATGCCCCGCGTGCGAATAAGGCTCATCGTCGTCATGGTTGGGCTAATTCGTTTGTTGTTATTATTTTCTGTTATATATTCGGCATTGTACCCACATTTCGTCTGGCCCCTCATCCCTCTCACTCAAACTACTCTCCTTCTTACTTCTTTTTCTCCTCTGCATCCATGGACATGACTGCTCAAGGCATTAGGCCGTCTAGGGCTTCTCTTTTGAAGCTGCGAGAGCAGACAAGCCCGGTGGCTGGGCCGGATTGTTCGAGCGGAGATGGGGCACGGAGGCAACAATGTCATCCCGAATGTGCACTTCCGCAAGGTCAACGGCATGATGGGCCCGGGCCGCTGGAACCGCCACATGATGAAGACCTGGCTGGACCAAGCTGGCCGCAAGAAGCGCCGCGCCCTGAACCGGAAGAAGCGCGCGGCGAAGCTCTCGCCCCGCCCGGCCGCTGGGCTGCTGAGGCCGGTCGTGCACCCGCCCACGCAGCGCTACAACATGAAGCTGCGCCTCGGCAAGGGCTTCACCCTCGATGAGCTGAAGGAGGCGAAGATCCCAGTCAAGAAGGCCATGACCATCGGCATCGCCGTAGACCACCGCCGCCGCAACCGCTGCGCCGAGAGTCTTCAGGTCAATGTCGACCGCCTAAAGCTGTACATGTCCAAGCTGCTGGTCTTCCCGCGCAAGTCCGGCAAGAAGGGCGTCAAGAAGGGCGACACGCCCAAGTCGGAGCTGCAGAACGTCGCGCAGAACACCCTCAAGGAGATCATCCCCATCCCCAAGCCGAGCACCGAGCTCGAGGCGCGTGCCATCACCGCCGCCGAGAAGGAGGCGTCCGCCTACAAGAAGCTCAAGAAGGCCCGCACGGACCTCAAGTACGACGGCGCCAAGCGCAAGAAGGCCAGCGCCGGCAAGGAGGAGTAGAGCAGCGATCAGCCGGAGTCCGCGCGCGCTCTGGCGCCCCGCCGAGTGGCCGTGCCTCCGCCCCTGCCTCTGCCGTCGTCGCTCGCCTCGACACTGGCCTCAGCTCTCATCTCTCCTCCTCCTCTTCCCCCGCCTCCTCCCCCTCTTCGAGTGCTGGGTTCCCCGGTCCGAGCCTGGGACTTGTCCTCGTTCACAGTCCGGCAGGCCGATCTTTCTGGACCCCAGGAGGCGGTGGACACCGATGTCATCGGGCCCCCAGGGGCCCAAATCTGCCCAGAGCCACCGCCCCATGGGGTCCCGGGGACATCGGTTCCGCGGTGGAGATGCAGGAATTCTCGCCTCGCACTTCGCCGCTCCTACCCCTCCGCCTTCTTCTTCTCCTCCTCCTCCTCCTCCTCCTCCTCCTCCTCCTCCTCCTCCTTCCCCCCCTTATGCGGATGTCCTTGTCCTTGTCCTCCTCCTTCCCCCCCTTCCTTATCTCTCCTTTACTTCCTCCGTCCCCTGGCCTCCTTTCTCCTTCCTTGCCCTCCTTCCCTTCTCGTTCCTCATCCTCCTCTTCTTTTTCCCAACCATCCTGTTGTGTTGGGTCCTCGTTTTGAAGAGACGGTGCCCCGCGTCTCCTTCCCCTCCCGCTGCCCCCTCCCTCCTCCCCCTCCATGCCATCACGAAGGTCCCAGTGGCGCAGGTTGCGTGCGCCCCCCCCGCCCAGGACAGCGCTTCGTGGCCCCATAGGGAGCTCCACCGAAGGTCCCAGTGGCGCAGGTTGCATGCGTTCCCCCACCCAGGACAGCGTTTCCTGGCCCCATAGGGAGCTCCACCGAAGGCCCCCAGCGGCGCAGGTTGCATGCGTCCCCCCCGTCCAGGACAGCGTTTCGTGGCCCCATACGGAGCTCCACCGACGGCCCCAGCGCCACCGTCCACATGCGTCCCCCCCTCACTCAGTACAGCGTTTCGTGGCTCCATAGGGAGCTCAACCGAAGGCCCCAGTGCCACCGTCCACATGCGTCCGTCCCACCCAGGACAGCGTTTCGTGGCCCCATAGGGAGCTCCACCGAAGGTCCCAGTGGACAGCGTTTCGTGGCCCCATAGGGAGCTCCACCGAAGGTCCCAGTGGCGCAGGTTGCATGCGTCCCCCCCGCCCAGGACAGCGTTTCGTGGCCCCATAGGGAACTCCACCGAAGATCCCAGTGGCGCAGATAGCATGCGTCCCCCCCATCCAGGACAGCGTTTCCTGGCCCCATAGGGAGCTCCACCGAAGCCCCCAGTGACGCAGGTTGCATGCGTCCCCCACACCCAGGACAGCGTTTCGTGGCCCCATAGGGAGCTCCACCGAAGGTCCCAGTGGCGCAGGTTGCATGCGTCCCCACCACCCAGGACAGCGCTTCGTGGTCCCACAGGCGAAGATCCCAGTGGCGCAGGTTGCATGCGTCCCCTTAACCCAGGACAGCGCTTCGTGGCCCCATAGGGAGCTCTACCGAAGGTCCCACTGGCGCAGGTTGCATGCGTCCCCCCCACTCAGTACTGCGTTTCGTGGCCCCATAGGGAGCTCCACGGAAGGCCCCAGTGCCACCGTCCACATGCGTCCCCCCCACTCAGTACAGCGCTTCCTGGCCCCATAGGGAGCTCCACCGAAGGCCCCAGTGCCACCGTCCACAGGCGTTCCCCCAGTACCATAGGGAGCTCCACCGAAGGCCCCAGTGCCACCGTCCACATGCGTCCCCCCCACTCAGTACAGCGTTTCGTGGCCCCATAGGGAGCTCCACCGAAGGCCCCAGTGCCACCGTCCAATGCGCCCCCCCAAGCAGGACAGCGTTTCGTGGCCCCATAGGGAGCTCCACCGAAGGCCCCAGTGCCACCGTCCACATGCGTCCCCCCCCATCCAGGACAGCGTTTCGTGGCCCCATAGGGAGCTCCTCCGAAGGTCACAGTGCGACCGTCCACATGCGTCCCCCCCACTCAGTACAGCGTTTCGTGGCCACATAGGGAACTCCACCGAAGCCCCCAGTGGGACCGTCCGAGTGCGTCCTGAAACACCCAATTTGGCACTTTCACCCACCCATTACAGCGTTTCGTGGCCCCACAGGGAGCTCCACCGAAGGCCCCAGTGCCACCGTCCGCATGCGTCCCGCACACCCAACGTGGCATTTTCACTCACCCAGTGCAGCGTTTCGTTGCCCCACAGGGAGCTCCACCGAAGGCCCCAGTGCCACTGTCCGCATGCGCCCAGAAACACCCATTGTGGCATTTTCATTCACCCAGTCCAGAATTTCGTGGCCCCGTAGGGAACTCCACCGAAGGCCTCCGTGCCACCGTCCGCATGCGCCCCGGAAACCCAACGTGGCATTTTTACCCACCCAATACATCGTTTCGTGGCCCCGTAGTGAGCTCCACCGAAGCCCCCACTGGGACTGTCCACGTGCGTCCAGGAAACCCAATTTGGCATTTTCACCCACCCAGTACAGCGTTTCGTGGCCCCATAGGGAGTTTCACCGAAGCCTCCAGTGGGACCGTCCGCATGCGTCCCGGAAGCCCAATTTGGAATTTTCACTTACCCAGTACAGCGTTTCGTGGCCCCATCGGGAGCTCCACCGAAGCCTCCAGTGGGACCGTCCGCATGTGTCCCGGAAACCTTATTTGACACACCACTCACCCAGAACAGCGTTCCCCCCCACCCAGTGCAGCGCTTCGTGGCCCCATCGGGAGTTTCACCGAAGAAGATGTTCACAATTGCGGTACCCACAACTGCATATGGTTGGGTTCTTCGCCAGGATAAGTTCCTCCTCCTTCTCCTGCCCATCCTGCTCCCTCTCCTTCGATTCCTGGTCCTACTCCTCTCCCTCCTCCCAACAGGCGCCTCCCTCTCCCTCTCCTTTCCTACTCCCTGCTCGCTTTCTTCCTCTCTTCTCCTGCCTCCCTCCAGCTTCTCGGCCTGTTCCTCCTCTTCTTCCTCTTCCTCCTCCTTTCTCCTTCCTCCTTTCTCGTCCTCGTTCTTCTTTCCTCCTTGCGCCAGTTTCGTTTCGTTTCGCGCTCATACAGCACACTCCGGGTCCCGCGCCGGGCGCCCGCGGGGCGCCCGCCGCCCGGCCCCGGGCGTGCCGCCCCTCACAGCTGCTGGTACCAGCCGCTCCGAGGGAGGATATGTACGCCGTCAGGTAGTGGTCTTTCACACCCCATCTTGCCCACACATCGACAACCTCTCTGCCTGCCGCCCTCCCCGCCCACGCCGGACGGACAGCGCGGGACCTTCCTGGGGCGGCCGGAGCGGGGGGGCTCGATCACATGAGGCACGCGCCCGTGTTCCCCCTCCCCTCGCAGCCCACGCGGCGGACGGACAACCGGGCAGGGCCAACAAGCGCCTGTCTAGGGATACGGCATAGCAGGTTGTGCCTCAGCCCACCCTGGCTTGGTTGCGGGAAAGAAACCACTCTAGCTCGGGGGGGCGCGCGGGGGGGGAGGCGGAGGGGGAGGCGGAGGCGGAGGGGGCGGCGCTGGCCAAGCAGCCTGCAAAACTGCAGCGCCCACGTAACTGACGTGCGCAGCACGCGCACGCGACGGGAGACCCTCGGAAAAAAGGACTTGTAAGGCGAACTCCGGGGCGGCGCCCTGCATGGGCGGGCCGTCGCGCGCAAGGAGGGCACGGTGCTGAACCGTGGCCTGACACGCTACCAGGGGATGGTCGACTGCTACATTCGACGCTCCGCATGCCCCGCACCGCGAGAGCGTGGCTGGCAGCCCACCCTGGCCAAGCACGGCAAGGGGCCAGCAGCCCGTCATGCGTATGACGGCCCACAACCGGTAATGCTTCCAAAAGTTTGGAGACGACTCCCAGCCCAGAAGATTCCAGTCAGGGAGGGACGGGCCCGGGCAAAGCTCAGCGAAGGAACGGCGCAACGCCGGGAGAACACATGACGCTGCCTTCCTGAATGCTTGCCGGTCATACTCCAACAGCGCTGGGCGCACGACCTGCCAGCGGTACCACTCCAGGAGGGCCCTGCGCCTCGCTGGATGGGCGCGCGCAGCCTCCAACTGCTCCCCAGCGCATGCCGGGTGTCGGTCCAGTTGCACTGGCGGCGACGGAAGGCGGCCAGCGAGCGCAGCTACCGCAGTAACCCAAGAGGGGGCGTGCAGGCACCGGGATGCCTGCCAGGCTCGGGACGCCGGGTGGTCGAGCGGGAGGACTGCGAGCCTGGCTCGCGCTAGCAAGGCACGCTCAAGAAACTTCGTGCCCAGCCTCAAAGGCCACCCGCATTGGGCCACGACCACGCTGTGACGCACGGGCGGGCCATCATTGCAGCCCAGCAGCTTGCGGCCCCACTCTACCTGTAAGCGGTTGAGGGCCGCTTCAGCCCCCTCGGCTAGGGCCAACAACGGGGAAGCGTATAGGATTACCGACTCAATGCGGGGAGGGACTTGAGCTGCGGCAACTGGGATGGAGAAGCCCCCGCACTCCGCCGTCTGCAAAAGTTCGTCAAACAGCGACCTGCCCCTCGCGAGCGTACTGTGCAGCAACGGCAGAAACGTGAGGCCCGAGTCCACTAGAACTCCTAGAAGCCCTTTCGCGCGCACCACAGGGGCTCCAGCTAGCAAGGGCGGGGGGGCGTCCAGAAGGGGCAGGACTGCCGTCTTCCCCCTATCATAGTTGAAGCGGGCCCTCACGCGCCGTGCGTATCGGCTGCACGCCGACCACTCTTCCTCCGACAGAACGGCCCTAACGGCCCCCTCTGACGGGCAGGGCGTTGTGATGTCATCCACGAATTGCGGTGACTCCACGTGGTAAGCCCCCAAACGCTCTATCACGGCAACCCGATCAGCCTGCGACGACAGCGCGCTGAGGACGCCGCGCAGGAAGCGCCTCGCCTGGGGCCACGGCGACTCCTCAGCCGCCGCCAAAAGCGACACTTCCTGCACGACCCCGTCAAGCTGCAGCTCCCCCCGCGGCGGCTCAACGCATTGCGCCGGCGGCGTGACTTCCTCCGCGTCAAGGAGCGCTGCCCTAGCAAATGGAGGCACAATCGTGCTGCACCCCTCCGGGAGCACTTTTGCGATGTCATCCGCAAGCCCACGGAGCTGGGTGTTAAAAGCGTGCACAGAAAACCGCCTGCCCTGAGCTGTACCGCGCGAAAGCATAAAAACGGGGCTCAGCAGCCCATGCAAAGACAGGCACTGATGGTCTTGCGCCAACACGTCGTCCAAAATGAGCCAATCAGGCCCGCGGACTCCGGCGTTGTACACGCCCACCAACATGGCGTGGCGGGACGCCACGTCGAAAGCCCACTTGCCATCTGCTAGAGCCCACCAAGTGTGGAGGCCCTGCGCATGCCGCAGCTGGGCGTGCACGACGAGGCCGATTACTAGGGTGAGGGCGTCGCCGACTCCCCCCTGCTGGCAAGGCCCACAATACGCCTCCAGCGCACCGCTATTTCGGGCTATCCAGAGAGCGTCTTGTACCGATGCCATCTCCGTTGCAATGGAAATTGGCCGCAGGGCGGAGAGTGCGCGCACTGTGGTTGGGCCGCACTTACGCAATGGGGTGATCTGCCTGAGTGACCAGATTTTCGCGGTCACGCCGGCGGCGCGAGCGAGGTTCACTAGGGCCTTGGTCAGCCGTACCCCCGCTGGTGACTCTGCGCGCAAGGCGGCGTAACACCCATGAATTGTGCGTTTGCCTGGCTTGACAGCGCTCAACACAGCATGCACCTCGTCATCCGTGTAAGGTGGAGCTCGGGCTGGTGCGCCTTCGAGGGCACCCGCGCTGCGGATTAAAGAAACCTGCCGTGCCATGGCCTCCTCGGCCCCCGGATCCTGCTCAAAGTCATTGCGATCGCGTGCAAACAGATCCTGCCTGACAGCCTCAACCATCGCACTGGGCGTAAGCGCAGCCCCCGTGGACGGGTCCGACAGCCTCACCTCAACACGGGTGCGCACCTGGAAGAAGCTCGACAGGAACCTCTCCGCGGCCCCGGGGTTGGCCTCGCGCAAATGCAAATAGCGGTGGACGGCTCTCCTACGCTCCCCCCACGCTGCGCGCGCAACTTCAAGCTTAAACTCTTGATGCGAGGTGAAACACGCTGGGTTCAGCAACCTACGCGCAGTGGTCTGCGAGAGGCGACGCTTGCCCCCTATCACCTTGGTGGCACCCGCTGCGTGTCCCACCATGGTGTAGGCGGCGTCGCGAGCCCAAGCCGCAACGTTAACCACGGCGCGCCTTTGCACTCTGCTGGCCCTGCCTCCGAACCACGGTGGCTGAAGCCAAGGGGCGCATGTAATTGCTTCCACGCTCTCGCTCAGCGCACTGAGGGTGCCGGAAATTTCCCTCAGGCCCTCGTCCCACCTGGGTCCGGACGTCCAGGCGACCCTCCCGTAGCCCGCCGCCCACGGGGCCGTGAACTGGCAGGGCACCTCTGCCATGACGAGTCGGTGGTCGGAGAGCGCAATAAAATCCGGCAGGACCTTGACAGGAAGGGGCGAAACTCTCATGCCTATGAAAAGGTCGATGCAGGTGCCAGACACATGCGTTGGCGCGGGGGGGTTAAAAGCCCCAAGCCCTGCAGCCACAAGCCACTGTTGGATCTCTCTGTCTGCAGGGGATTGCTTGCAGTGCGCGCAGCTACAAGGCTCCACATGGTCAGCAAGATAGTCCAAATGGACATTTGCATCTCCGCCTAAAATCAAGCGCGCCCGCGGGTACCGATGACGACATAAAGCTGCATGCGCTACAATGGACTTCCAGGTGTCTGTGTCCCCGCCGTGCTTCGGGTAAAACGCCAGTCTCTCTCCCTCCGTCTGCCGAGGTTGCAGTAGGTCTCCGGCATGAGGCGAGCTGGAGATTGGATCTGCCGCCGTCTCGTCCCTGTTCTCTGACGGGAGCTGCAGTGTTGACCGAGCCCTCCTTTGAAACGCGGGCGGGCGATGCTGCGACCTCCAGGAGTCGGGACTATGGAGTAGCGGACTCACGCGTAAAAGACTTTCCGCTATACCCCCCCCTCCTCATCCTCTTCCTCCTCCTCCTCCTCCTCCTTCTCCTCCTAGTGGCCTACTGACCTGCACTAGAAGGGTGGTCCCTGCACTCCTGGTGCCTTCCCGACTGCTCACGGGATGATCCTCTCCCGTGAGAGGCCACAGCGGGTCGCAATTTGCCTCCTCAAATGGGCAAGTTGTCCCACGGGCCAAACAAGGAAATCTTGGGCTTCATTCCCTGCAGCAATCTCCGAGACGCTTTGATCCCCGGTGGGCTGGCCGCAAAGGGGCATAGAGTTTGGTCGCTTTGGGCGCAGCCCACCCTCTACACCTGGAACAAGCCCCCCCCGCCCTCTTAGTCATGCAAATGGTGGGGTGGTGGGTGGGGTGGACATCAAACATGTATGTATGTATGTATGTATGTATGTATGTATGTATGTATGTATGTATGTATGCATGCATGCATGCATGCATGCATGCATGCATGCATGCATGCATGTATATATATGTATGTATGTATGTATGTATGTAAGTATGTATGTATGTATGCATGTATGTATGTATGTATGTATGTATGTATGTATGTATGTATGTATGTATGGCTGCATGCATGCATGCATGCATGCATGCATGTATGTATGTATGTATGTATGTTTGTATATATGTATATATGTATATATGTATGCATGCATGTATGTATGCATGCATGCATGCATGTATGTATGTATGTATGTATGTATGTATGTATGTATGTATGTATGTATGTATGTATGTATGTATGTATGTATGTATGTATGTATGTATGTATGTATGTATGTATGTATGTATGTATGTATGTATGTATGTAATGTATGTATGTATGTATGTATGTATGTATGTATGTATGTATGTATGTATGTATGTATGTATGTATGTATGTATGTATGTATGTATGTATGTATGTATGTATGTATGTATGTGTGTATATATATATATATATTGAGAAGGCACACTTTTGACACCACCCTGGAGACGGCTGGTTAGAGAAGGCTGCACAGTGTGTGCAACTCGTGCAGTCTGGATCCCTGATGATTCAATGCGGGCTCATTCCTGCCTCACTGAGTCTACGGACCTTGACACTCTTGCGGGCCTTTTTGAGCTTCAAGCTGGGGCGAAACTTCAAAGTGAGGTCCTGTATACACGCAAACCTAGCTCTGATCAACTTCATCTCCGCATCCTTGGACAGAACCTGCAAAACCTCTTCCTCCGAGAGTCCAAGGAAATCAGCTGCTCTGCGCTCAACGGCGTCTGCAGCCTGGTTGGCAACATGGAAGTCAGGCCGCACCGTAGCTGACCTTCTATCTGCGAGAGAGGCATGGGCCTTCGTCTTCTTGCAGGCGGCATGGTGTGTCCTGTCCTCGTGGGCCTGCCAAAAGAAGGACCATAGATCAGTGTTGTACTTGTGGTTCCACTGCTTCCCCCTCCTCAACCCTTTCATGACGTAGTCGCTGTCTGTGACGACGACGATAGGCCCACCCAGGAACAGGGCATACATGGCAGCCGTAAGTTCTCCGCGATCCCCCTCCTACTCCTTCTCCCCCTCCTGCTCCCCTTCCTCCTCCTCCTCTTCCTCCTCCTCCTCCTCCTTCTCCTCCTCCTTCTCCACCTCTTCCTCCTCCTCCCCCTCCTCCCCTGTCTCCTGCTCCCGCCTCCACACGTACAAGTTATGAATATGATTCTCCTCTCTCCGCTGACTCTGTCCGGAGGATGTCCCGGCCTCTCTCCGCGTATTCTTGTTTTACACAGGATTGGGCAGAGGTGTTTTCTTCCTATTGCTGCTTAAATCCGATGTTTCGGTGTTTCAAAATGGTGCTCCAGTTGCAGAGTGGGCCTCATTTTCGGATCAGCGCCTTGCTCACGTCGTTCAGAATGGCGCTCTCGCCTCAGCGCGGGGCACTTTTCTGGAGCCGAGTCTTTTTGCATCGCTGTTGCCCCCCACTCCTTTCTCCTCCTCCGCCTTCCCCTGGTCCTCCTGCTCCTCCCGCTCCTTCCACTCCAGTTCCCGCTGCTGCTGCTTGTGGTCGTCCTCCTTCCTCATCCCCATCCTCCTCATTTTCCTCCTGCTCATCTCCCTCTCGCCTTCTCTTTGATTGCGCAAAACACGATGGGGTCGCCTATGACACACGTCCGCGGATAGAGAATCAATCAGCGCAATAGGAAGGGATGGGTGAGAGGGGTAAGATGTCAGACATGGCGCGAACGCCTAACTTGAGCTATCCCCTCTCCTCTTCCTGGTACCCGGTGCTCCTCCTCCTCCTCCTCCACCTCCTCCTCCCCTTCACAATTAAGCGATTTGAGCACTACTCTCCTCTCTCCCCTGACTCCCCGTCTGGAAGATACACACAGCATTTCTGCCGTCCGTCCGCGTGCTGTCTTTTACACCCAGCATTTCAATACTTGATTTTCCTTGCGCTTTTTTACCATCTAGTTGTTTTTAGGTGCTTCGAAGTAGTGCTTCCGCTGCAGCGCGGGCCTCATTTTTGGATCCGCGCTTTGCCCCCGCCGTTCAGAATTTCGTACTCGCCCCAGCGTGGATCCGAGTCTTTCTTCGTCGTTGTCGGCCCTCTCCTTTCCCCTCCTTCGCCCTCTCCTGGTCCTCCTGCTCCTCCCGCTGATTCTACTCCAGTTCCCGCTGCTGCTGTTCGTCCTCGTTCTTTTTCTCTCGCTCATCCTCCTGCTTACCTGCCACCTTCTCCTCCTATGCACGCAGCTCCCTTTTTTCCGATTGATCCGAGCACGATGTGGTCTTACAGCGCAATGGGAATGGATGGGAGGGAGGGAACGGATGTCAGATGAGGCGTAAGCGCACCTACTTGATCCTCCCCCCCTCTCTTCCTCACGAGCCCTATGGGGCCTACCGTACGAGCTGCTGGAGCCAAGCGAGGCCCACGCGAACATATAAACCCTGTGGCCTGCGCCCCCCCCGGCCCGTGCGGCTCATGAGCCCCATGGCCCGCAGGAGTCGACTGCCCTCCAGGACCCGAAGGCGCCCTTCACCTCTTCGAGCCATTGGGGCCGCGTCGCCTCGCCAGCACTGGGCCCTCCAAGCAACGTGGGCGTCACGGTGCTTTCGGGCCTCGCGGGTCCCGTGAACAGCGTGCGCCCCGTGCGTCTTGCAGCTGCCAGGGCCCAGCACTCCCCTCCCTCCCCAGTACTCCTTTCCCCCCCCCTCGACCTCCAGCGTCCACCAGCTCAGAACTCAGCACTCCGACCTCGGCAAACAAGGCCTACATGCACTGAGGGCTACAGCCCCCCCGCGCATGCCCTGACGGGCCCCGCCCACGGTGGTACCGCTCGCGCTCGCTCTCTCTCTCTCTCTCTCTCTCTCTCTCTCTCTCTCTCTCTCTCTCCCCCCCCCATGGCCGCAGTTGTGGTTGCGTCAGAAAAGCCCTAAGTATGCATCCCCACCATGTAGCGTAAAGCAAGAGCCAGGATCACATCACATCGGTTCCTCCCGAGTCTCTTCCCGAGAGCCGCTCCAAAACCTTCACCGCGCAATTTCGGCCACCCACGGGCTTGTTCCAGATTTCTGGGTTGCGCGGGCACCCCTGAATCATAACATGCTCAGGGCCGAACCCCCCGATCTCTACCGATGTGCGCGCGCGTGCGTCATGCACCATATAACCACTGCTGGACGTGCTAAGTGCAGCGGTCTGGTAACATTCTCCGAACAGTGCTTGCACTCAGGCGCTCCTGAGGAACTGGGCCTGCTCGTCGGTATGGCGGCTATGTGGTCGCAGTCGCCGCCCCGTCGTTGCTTTGCTTTGCGCTGCTGTGCGCTGATTTGCAATGCCCTGCGTTACTTTTCGCCTTGCATTGTCTCGCCTTGCTTGGCATTGCATTGCTTTGCATGGCACTGCATTGCTTTGCATTGCGTTGCAGTGCCTTGCACTGCGTTGCATTGCCTTGTATTGCCTGGCATGACTTTGCATGGCGTTCCATGATTTTGTATCGCGTTGCGTTGCGTTGCATCTGTTTTGCGCTGCATTGTTTTGCATTGCGTACGGTGCATCACACGGCGTTGCTTTGCATTGCGTTGCACTGCTTTGCAGTGCTCTGCATTGCTTCGCATTGCTGTGCATTGCTTTGCATTGCTTTGCATTGCTTGGCGTTGCATTGCATTCTTTTCCACTGCGTCGCGCCACATAGATTGCACCACATGGAGCGCACCACATTAACTTCATCACAGCGGTTGCACCACTTAGATTCTAATGCTAAGGCAGCACAGAAATCGTTGTGTGGGGCCCACGCTGGTGAACATCCTGTACCTAATGTATATCATCGCTCCTTGTCGTCGCAGTCCTCCTCTGTTGGGGGAAAGACGCCAGCGACGGCAACAACGACGACGCTTACGATGTCGACGGCGATGGCGACCACGGTGACGGGTCGGCGACCGTGCTGCGGGCAGGCGACCGCGGTGCGGCCGCGCTGGCGGCTGCTGTGACTGGGCTGCCCCTGGAGCGCCTGCGCCTCGACCTTTGCGACTGCGGGGCCCTACTGGGGGCGCCGTCCTCGTCGTCGTCGTCGCCGTCGCCGTCGCCGTTACCGTTGCTGTCGCCGTCGCCGTCGCCGTCGCGGCCGCCGTTGCCGATGTTACCGTCGTCGTCGTTGTCGTCGTCGTCGTCGGTGTAGGAGGAGGAGAAGGAGGAGGAGGAGGAGGAGGAGGAGGAGGAGGAGGAGGAGGAGGAGGAGGAGGAGAGAGGAGGAGGAGGAGGAGGAGGAGGACAAGGAGGAAGAGGAGGAGGCAGGAGGAGGAGGATGAGGAGCAGGAGCAGCAGGAGCAGGAAGAGGGGGGAGCAGCAGCAGCAGCAGCAGCAGCAGCAGCAGCAGCAGCAGCAGCAGCAGCAGCAGCAGCAGGGAGGAGGAGGAGGAGGAGGAGGAGGAGGAGGAGGAGGAGGAGGAGGAGGAGGAGGAGGAGGAGGAGGAGGAGGAGGAGGACGAGGAGGAGGAGGAGGAGGAGGAGGAGGAGGAGGAGGAGGAACAGGAGCAGGAGCAGGAGCAGGAGCAGGAGCAGCAGGAGGAGGAGGAGGAGCCGCAAACAACTCAACGTAATCGCGGTGGCTTTGAGGAGTCCCTGGGGTTCCAATGACGCCTTCTGCAGAATCTCTGTAGAGAGAGCCTCAGGACGTCGGCGCGGCCGAGGAACCGCTGATTCACTTTCATGGATGAGGCCGGATCGCCTCAGCGCTCGCCACTTTGCTTTGCCATGGTCGCTTGTTGCCGCCATGCCTGGGTTCGGCTCGAGGCGTTGGTCAGAATGGTGTCCAGGGGGGTCGGTGCGCTGATGTCGAGAGAGGGCGTCTGTCGAGCCAGCGCACGCGAGTTTCCTTATCCATTTTGGCTCCAGGCCCGTGGGCTCCTTCCTGCGCCAGGGGCTTTCGGCGTCTCCGTTTTCCTCCTCCGTCCCCTCCCTCCTCCGTCCTCCCTCCCACACTTGGGCGGGGGGGTCGGCGCATGGGCGATGAGGCGGCCCTCGGCGAAGGGGCCGCTGCCCCGCTGTGGCGCCGCTTCACGCCCCGCGACATCAGCGGCGGCCTGTGCATGGCGAGGACCTGGGCGGAAGGCTGCGGGGGTCAGTGCAACAAAAGGCCAGTCAGTGGCCACACCCTGTGCCGGGTCCACATGCACCACATGCAGGAGGGCGGCCTCGCCCACGGCCGGGTCGACGGGCCGATCCCAGAGACCAAGCTGCGGGCGTTCTTGCGCGAGTCGCGCCGGACAGCCCGACCCCCGCAGCGCACCGACGGCAGCCGCGCGCCTGCGGGCCGCCGGCCAGCGCCCGACGGAGGACGGCCGAGCCCACCAGCGGCGCGCCGCGGGCCGGCGCCGAGGCAGCGGGCGCCACTCGCGGCGCGCGCGCGCACGCTGCTCGGGCGCGCACCGCTGCTTCTGGGAGGCAGGCCGCAGGACGCCGCGCTGGCGTGGCGGCCGCCAGCCCTTCGGGGCCCCGAGTGGCTGGCGGCCGACGGCTCGGTGCTGACGGCCCCACCAGCCCCTGGGTGTGAGGACCGCACGTGGAGCCGCGCGGCGGTGTGGGACGCCACGCTGGTGGTCCCCACCGGCCCGTCCCTGAAGCGCGCCCGCGGCGCCGCGCGGGCGCCGCCGCCGGAGCTGCCGGGCGCGCAGCGCCGGGAGCCACAGGTCGGCATCAGCAGCGAGGCGGCGGGGCTACTGCGTCAGCTGGCGGCCACCCTGCTCGGCTGGGTGCTCGCGGAGGCCAGCGCGCTGGCACCACGGCCAGGACAGGCTGCGGAGGACGCCGGCGCGGCTGCCCGGGCCACGGAGCCGCGCGCCAGGGTCAGCCTCGAGGACCTGCAGCGCCTCTCGCGCGAGGGCGGCGCCCTCCTGCCAGCACGAGTGCGGCGGGAGCTGGCGGCGCTGCTCGCGGAGGCCCAGGCGGCGGCCTGAGCTCACAGAGGCGGTCGCGCGAGGCTGGCTGCGGGCCTCGACGCCTCGCAGGCGGGGTGTTCGGACCGGAGCTCACCAACGCTCCCTGCAGAACGTCGAGGATGTGCAGCACGCGAGGGAGGGCCCGAAGCAGCCGCTCCTGCACAGAGGGGAGGGCGGTGCCAGGCGTCCAGAGACTCCCATGCAGATGTACCACACGGCCCTGGGTGTGGGCCAGCCGTCGGCCCTGGCTGCTGGGCGGCACACTGGCGCCGCCGGGTGTGCTGCGGATCGGCGCGGCCCGGCGCTCTCCGGGCGCGCGGGCAGAGCTGTGAGCTTCCGCTTGGGGCAGCGTGCAGACCACGGCCTGGCTGCCGACTCTGCCCAGGGGAGGAGGCGGAGTGCGGCGTACCGGCCTCGACGCCGGCCAGCCAGGCTCACGGGGCCAGCGCGGTCTGAGGGCATCGGTCGCGGGCCGCCAGGCAGGTCTGAAGGTACAGCAGACACACACACTGTAAGAAGTCTTGCTGTAAGAAATCCAGGGGCACGTCTGTCGTCGGGCTTGACGCTCCCTGGGGTGCCCCAGGGCTTCTGTGGCCCCCCAGGGCCAGCGGGGGATAAGAAACTTCCCAGGGGCACCTGCTGGCAGGCCAGTTTCTTATATGACGTGCGTCGAGGAGGTTGGGGCTTGACGGCGAGGTTGATGCTCGGATGGTCGCATTCTGCTTTGCGGAACACCCCTCCCCCCTTTCCCCTCCCTCCATTTGTATCGGGTATGTTGCGCTGGCGTGACCAACGCACAGGAGTCCTGCGCAGCAGCCGCGAACAGCTTCGGTCATCCCCTCGGCGCGTTATTCTAGTGCTTTTCTGCGTGCTTCCTATATTCCTCTGCTATGTTGTTGATGCGAATGAGCTTCCGACGCACGAAACACACAGCCCGAAGCAGTGGCAGTCGCCCTATAAGTCGCGTGTGCAGATGTAGATCTATCGGCGCTAATCGCATCAGCCGTACTGACATTACAGCTTGAGAGGGGCACGTGGGACGGAGGGTGCTGTAGTAGTAGCCGAGATACCCGCCTGGTTAAATATGAACCGTTACACCGCAGGGGCGTTCGATTGGAGGTGGACTGTACTGGTTCAGCTGCTGCTTGTCGTTGTGCCTCACCCTGCGTCGCAGGATCAGATTCTCTGAATCATTTGACCTATTCGGTGTGAGATTTAGGGATGCGGTACGTGTCTGCCTTCTCTCCCTCGTCATGCTGCGCGGGACACATCATGCCTCGTATATCCTGGCAGCCAAAGCAATAAGTGCAATAAATCGAGCTGGCATGTAGAAAATGACGCACTGCATACCTGGTGTTCTAGTTTTAGTGTCAAGTGGTACGTCAAATCGTGCAGTTTGATGTGATACCATACTGCGCTCTAGTTTCCTAAACAGTACTTATACTTTGGGCTTTTTTTCGTAAATAAGCATATCTTTTCCAAGAAACTGGGCGCTGGTCTGGCGGCTATGTTGTCGCCGTCGCCGCCCCGTCGCCGCCTCGTCGCCGCCCGTCTTCTGGGCCTGCTTGTAGGTCTGGCAGCTATGTTGCCGGCGTCGCCGCCCCGTCGCCGCCTCACCACCGCCCGTCGTCTGGGCCTGATTGCCGGTCTAGCGGCTATGCTGTCGTCGTCTCGTCGCCGCCTAATTTTCACAACGTAGATTGCACCGCATCTATTGAACCATATCGATTGCACAACGTAGAATGCACCTCATAACTTGCACAACATATATTGTAACACATATTTTGGACAACATATATCGCACCCGAAGATTGCACCGCGTAGTTTCCACACACATTGCAGCACATAGCATTACATATATTTGCACCACTTGTATTGCACCACGTCAATTGCACTGCAAGCATTGCGCACCGCATAGATTGTACCACGCGTATATAGATAGATGCACATTCTCCTTTGTAAAAGAAGAATGGACTGCCCCCCCCCGGAGTTACCGATCCCCCCTGGGGCATTGTCATTTCATATTTATTCTACACACTCGTCCATCCTAAATATGAATTCAAATTATCCCAGCCAAACCAGTATCACTCCCCCCCGCCATCCTCTGCAACAAATACTATGCGGGCGCTGTCGTTCATCGCAAATCATAAGTTTTCAAGAATCCCTTGCGAAAAATCTGACGAAGTGTACACGCTCGCGTCGTCGCGCGCGCATGCCGAAATCCTTCAAAAACCTTTGTATTCGGAAGGATCTCAAAATCGAGTTTCCAAAACACATACAAACACACAGGGTTTCGCAACACTGATTTTCTGAAAAAGCTTACGCGCGCGCTCTTGCGAAATCTTATGACAACTATTGGTTTTCAAGACTTTCAAAACTACTACCAAACGGGCTTAGCGCGCGCATGTCGAAATCTTTCGAACGCCTTTGCGCGCGTGCCGTCGCGAGAATCCTCTGCAAACAAAGGGACGAAGTGCAGACGCGCGCGTCGTCGCGAGCGCATGCCGAGATCCTTCAAAAACATTCGGTTTCGGAAGGATTTCAAAATCGTGTGTCAAAAAAATAAAAAAAACACAAAAGCTTAGCAACACGGATCTTCAACAAAAGCGTGCGCGCGCGCTCTTGCGTCGTCGTCGTCGTCGTCGCCGTCCTCCCTTCCCTCCTCCCCCGTCGTCGTCGTCGTCGTCGTCGTCGTCGTCGTCGTCGTCGTAGCCGTTGTCGTTCTCTGTCTTTCCTCGTCGTCGTCGTCCTCCTCCTCTTTGGCGTCGTGGGCATTTCCGTCGTCGTTTTTGCCGTGGTCGTCCTTCCTCCTCCTCCCCCTTCGTCGTCGTCGTCGTCGTCGTCCGTCGTCGGCGTCTCGTCGTCGTCCCTCCTATTTCGTCGCCGCCGTCGTCGTCGTCGTCGTCGTCGTCGTCGTCGTCGTCGTCGTCGTCTTCCCTTCTCCCTCGTCGTTGTCGTCGTCGGCGTCGTCGTCCTCCCTCCCTCTTCGTCGTTCGCGTCGTCGCCGTCATCCCTCCTCCATCGTCGTTGTCGTCGTTGTCGCCGTCGTCGTCC